AGTGATATCAATATACGATCAAGGTTAATGATTGAGTTACAAACATCTAAATTTAAAATTAAAAAAAAAAAAAAAACTTTCATAAAAACCATTTTTTTTTTTTAAATAAAATAAATTTTTTATTTATTATATTAGATTATTATGTTAAATTCTATAAAATAGGATAGGAAAAAACTTTAGAGTTACTAGAAATCATTTACCATAAAAAAGCCAATTATAAAGTCGAGATTATTATTTGCTCTGAACAAATTATTAAAATATATATTATACCGACTACAAAGGTACTGTGTATTTTTTCTATTATGATTGTAGTAAGATGTATAGTTTTTTTATATTATTTTAGTTTGAAATAAATCATTTATTGAAAAACAATCATGATAATTTAAACATTTATTAAGACACAAAATAATGATAAAAAATCAATATTATAATTGTAGAGTTAGCACAGTTTCATTTATTTTTTAAATTTTCTATAAAACTATTTTGATAATACTATTTTACGACATTTTCATTAATATATTATATTAAACATTTTAATACTTTAACTTCTTTTCACGTAGATGTAATAAATTATTTAAGTAATTTGATCACTTTAATACTACAATAAACTACATATATCTACTAACAGTTTTTCAATGCGCAGTTAATTACTCGTATATGTTTTAATATCAATTTAATCATAAGAAATAACGTATACGAATTTTGATTTAGTGTAACTTTCATACGTTAATACGTTCTTGAAGAAAAAATTTTCCCTGTGATAATTATTTTAAAACGCTCACTTTTTGACTGCGATTTTTAGCTATTTTAAGTTTAAGAGGCAAACCATTTAGTATCGATAGTGTTTAATTAGAAATTATATATAATAACACATTAAATGAGATATAATAAAAAGTCAACTGATGGATGAGCACTGAAAAAAAAATATTATATGCAGAGGAATAAAAAATGTAATCGGTCTTAATAATGCTTAATATGTCTTAATCGTTTACTTAATATGTCCAGTCATGTTTGTCCAGAATAGCTGAAGGCTATTTTTTTTATGTGAATAGGCGTATTGTTTAGGTTTACTGTCCTTTAATACTAGCAATTTATTAAATGTCCAAAAATCATCGTTACTTTTTTTTTTTAAATTTATAATACATGTTATGTATTTTGTTTTTCATACGTTTTGTATTTTAAGTATTTTATACAAATAACTACGTATAGTACTACATACAACTGATGGAATATAGTTGTGATATTTACATCGTATTTCGATTCATTATCGAGAAATTATTCTTAGCATTGTATAAAATGATGAGAAATACTATCGTTTTAATAGTATATCTGAATCTATTTTGTTCAAATTTAAAAACAGATGGTACTTTAAAATACAGATAATTTGTTATTTATTATTAGTTTTAACAATAATTTTAATAACCTAATACATTATGTATATGTAACTAGAATGTCTAATTAATTTAACAGACACTATAACTTATAATAATTGTTACCTGAACAATAAAAATAATAATTATTGATAATATGTTTGTTATTTTATTTTGTCTTAAAAATTATTTATATTATTTATTTTTTTTATAAATTTGTATAAAAATGTCATCAAATTAGTGCAAACAATTATTCTCTTACTTTTTGAGGGAAGTAAATAAAATATTCGAAGTCAAACTATTTTTTATTAGTTCAGGAATAATGTTTTTATACGAAATTGAGTTTTATTTTTATCAGAAAACGTATTCCACTTAATATTGTTTATAGAATGCGACAACGTATTGTTTTCAAACTTAAATGATTAAATGTCTCATACAAACTAGGTTAAGTGGTTTTCTACTTAATATGAATTTTGCAAAGGATACTTACATTGATCATATTATATTTTAAATGTGTACAATGTTTGAAAACCAAAAATTTCTGTCATTGGTTATTATAATAATATATTATGGTTTTGTAATTACATTTTGTAGTTTTGTGTTAATAATTGTTTGAAAAATGTATTTAATTTATTTTGGAAGGCTAATACTTTATTTCAAATTAAATTATATTATTACTGTATCTTACTCAAAAATCTCAGATTTGTTTTTATTTATTTCTTCCAGAAAACAGCAATATTAAAAACAAATACAAGTATAGCCACTCTCATAAAATAATTTTTTTCTTTTAATATAAAATCGAATACACAATTAACCCAAATTTGTATACTACAAGAAAAAAATAATTGCTTATTTTAAGTCAACTCAAAAAAAACATTTTTTAAAATCTATAAATTATTTAAATAGCAATAATTAGTCTTATAATATTTTATTTAATTAATACATGGCTATTTTTTTATTTTTTTGAAAGGTATCATACTATATTTCTAAAAATTATATTATATGTATTTTATGTTACTAGTAGGTACTTATTAAAATAAATTACATTAGCATAAATACAAATAATGAAAAAAAATAAACTGAGACTTGACAAATACTCTTCATAACATTATTTATTACACAAAGTGAATTTAGATGATATATTTTCTCGTACTAAAAAAATAATTCATTTTTCTAACAGTAGCCAGAAAGTAAGTTTTTCATATATATTTGTCAACACTTCATAATTTTTAAAATAAGATTATTTATATTAGTATGAAGCCACTAGAAGATTAAAATACACAACCTGGGTGAGCAGAGATAATAAACTTTATAAAGTGAAAAATTACCAGGTGTCCTCCAAAAAAAAAAAAAAAGAGGGCTAATAAACTACAGCAATCGAAATGTATATGAATCACAGTTAGTGTCACCAGTGTCATGGTAGACGGATACTGTGTTGTAACTTAATTATTTATGCGCTGCCGAAAATTTTTGTTTGGTTTTTTTCTCATTTTTAGTTGCTTTTTGAAGTGGCACTTTTCCAAAAATGTTATTTCAAAATTACTGATACCTAAGATATCTACTTGAATTTACAACGGCGATACAGGTGAAAATCGTTAACTAAAAGAGGAAACAATTTATTTTGCAAAAACCTTAGTTCCATTTGATCACTACTCGATTTTTCAATTTTACAGCTTTGTAAATTAAAAATTTGAAATATTCTGTATATTTTCAACATCAAGTGATATGATCTAAATAATAGTTGATCAATTCTAAAGAGACAACACTGATCAAACACCTAATATGACTATAAATTTATTTATATTACATCGAGTAACAGATAAAGTACTATCACTGTCACTTAATTGTATTTAAATATGAATTTTATAGTACAGTGTTTTATTTTGACAATGAAATAATAAAGCTATTTTTAAAATAATTATAGTTTTTTATGTGTTAAATACTTTTCATTGTTATTAGAATATAATAAAGTATATGAAATGGACTAGGGTAGGATTAAAATAATTTCTTTGAATTTAATGATTTATTTTTAGTTTTATATTAAATAATAATAATACTATTATTTTTTTTAAATATTTATTGAAGTTTTCATACTTGCAGAATTATATTAATTTAATATCTATAAAAAGATAAAAATAAATATTGTAGTTGGTAAAATATTTATTTGTTCAGTTGAAACTTCTAGTTAAAATACCATTGTAAGATATGTAACTTAAACCAAACTTCTATAAATACGTTAAAATAAATAATTATTTATTAAGTTCACAAAGAAAAGTTTAGATTTCATTATCTAAACAAGTACTATATTGACAAGTTTATTTATACTACTTTATACTACTACAGCAAAATTCTTATTATTTATATAAGTGTTTTTCGAATACTTTTTTTTTTTTTTTTTATGAAATTTGAGTTTTACAGACAAAGCTGCATAATTTAAAATTTTTTCAACTTTACATATCACTTAATCTGATTCTATATAAAGAGCTTTATTCTTATCTTTTTTAGTGTTTGTATTACTTATTATTTTTATTCTAAAAACCTCAATACAATTTTTACGATGAAAAAAAATATAAGAACGTTTATAATGGATTAGCAATGATTAAAATAATACCATTGCTTTAGTTATTAATGTAGAGAAATATTATATTTCATGTTGGGTTCACGTTGATATCCAATCACGATACCCAATAAAACATCAACCACAGTATGCATATAATGTTATCATCGGTACAGAAAAAATAGGTTAGTCCATTATACACTGAGATAATATATTTTAAACGAGCATTTTTTGCTTCAGGTTATTTAATACCTTGTGTTGTTAACAATAGAATATTAGTTTGCATAATATTTTAAACAAGCACACACAAACACACAAGCAAACCTATATAGTCATAAAAAATACCTTTGGCGCACCGCGAAATTTTCTTTAAGTAATCTTCCATAAAGCAGTATAATATATTATATAATATAGTGTATGGGAACGTGAAAAGGTCAGAGTAATATTATCTACAAGAAAAATACGTTTTAGTCTCAAAATTAGATTTTCTTGTTCACCTACTACACAACTATATGTATACAGACTATTTATTTATAATAATGTGCGTTTGGCGTATTATTATAATAATATACAAGCACCGCGTTTATATAGAAAAAAAACTTTGTTCCGTGTTTGCGGGGGAGGAGCTTAAATATGAAAACCCATTAACGATATTACAATTGATAATGTACACAAACCGTATACTTATATATTTATGTTACGCACACGCACATGTGTATATACATATAACCATATATATATATATGTATATACACAAACATGTGTGTATTTGTGTGTGTGTGTATAAGACGTGTAGATATGTATAAAGTTATATAACACTGTCTCGGTATTCAATCAAGTCGAAGCGGAACTTCATTATCCCCGTGCACGTGATATCCGTGATTTTTGTAGGGTCCATTGGATGTGGTAGTTGGGAGGTACACTCGAATACGTATAACATATAATATACGTATATTTAGAGGTGTACGTTGCAGACGTGATAATATTAAATTTTAACCCTACAACGACTGGTACTTTTTTTATTATTATTATTATTATTATTATTATATGTTAAATTAAATTTTTTCCCTTACCCGATTTCCTTTTGGAGAAACAGCACGAGTGGGAGTATGCGAACTGAAAAGTGCCGGCCAACAGGGACCCCAGATTTGATATGCACAGCAACATTAGCGGCACGCCGAATAATGCGTAGACCATAGTTACGATTTTGCCTTCTGGTGTTTTCGGTGCCAAATTACCGTAGCCTGAAAATAATACACTCGTTTTGTGAATAAATATACATAATATATTTTTTTTTAAAAGTCAATTAAGCGAATAAGAGACAAATATGTTTTATAAAATGATTCAATTTAAAATAATATTTAAAATTTTTGAAAATTAAATAAAACTCGTTTAAACATTAATTTCTGCGTTATATTTATACGAGAATTATCACAATACGTTATAAGAGTGATTTTTTTAACAATAAGCTCTCATAATTCTGCAATATATTATCGTTTTTGTATTTTGTTTTTTTTTTTCATTGAAATAGACGTAACTATTAAGTTTTAATTCAATGAGATGTATCATTGTATATGAAAAATAATTCTGAGCGAAAATGGTCTGTCAGCTTATATCACCAAGTTTAATTATTTAAGATATATATTTTTTTTGTCTTAAGTTTAAATTTTTTTATTTTTGATAATTCAATATACCAAATAGATATAATTTAATAATGAATAACCACCCCTAGGATTAAATATTAATACATTTTCATTATTCCAAGAATAGATGATAAAAAATGAAAAAAAAAAATGTAATATCACATCATTGTAAAATTAATCGCTCCATTTAAATAATTCTAGTATTAGTGAAGAAAATTATTATAAATTGTAAATACATAAAAATTATCTCAAATCCAAAGTAATTAAATAAACCCAATTGATTAGTTCTTTTTAATCAATATAAAATATAAGTAATGACTTTAAATCACAAAAAAATAAATTTTCAAATTATTAATATATTTTATGATACCTACCGAATATTGATTATTAATCGAAGCACTCGGTATTGTAAAAATTATATATGTTTGTAAAATTTTATAACTTATAAAGGTTTAGTTTTTGTTTAGTACCTAATAAGTTATATAATAAGAAAAATTTTAATTATTGGTTTATTCTAAAATTTGCATTTAGTAATAAATAATAATATATACGTTGGTTGTATATTTTAAAACTTTTTAGACTCTTTGTTTTATACCTTATTTTATTGAAGGGAAATAAATAAACTATTTTTGATCTTAAAAATTACTTACGTATTAAACTAAAAAAAAAAAAATCATTTAAATGAATACATTCTAAATTAGAATATTTAACTATCTAACTATTATTTTAATTATAATTGATATTAATGTCTATAAGAAGGTTATAAATAATTTTGACAGGTCAAAAATATTTAATTACAATCTCTATTGATGAATATTGTTAGACCACGAAAAAAAGAATTAATGAGAAGTACACAACTAATAGTATTCACAATTTTTTTTTTTTTTTATGTTAACATTTCTAGAATAATTTAGATAAATAAATAGAAAATTACATTTTCTTTTAATTACTTGAAAAAGTAAAATTAAATTAAACTATGATAACGATTCAAAATATAATATAATTTTCAAAAATATTTATACTTTTTGAAATTGATAATGAATATTTTCTACTATAATATTCACTATTTATAATGAATTATGAATATACGAGATTAGAAGTTCATAAAACTCAGAACAGCCAAAGTATTGTGAATATAGTAAATCATATAATGCATAAAAATAATCAATAAATAAAAATAATTAGTTAAGTAAAGTTGGCCATAGTTTTCTGTAAAATACTAATAATTTCAACTAATCATTTGTAAGATAAAGTGATTGATACAACTTAATAACATATGAATATTTTATGATGTACATATTCAGAGAATTAAAATATCGAGAATCGCATTTAAATATACCGAGTAAAAATCTTGATTATAGCCATTAGAGGTACCGAATTAAAACTGCTTTAATTTGAAGCTTATAACTTTATAAGTTTAAAGTTTACAAATAGATAAATAAATTAAACTGCACGTTTTTTATAGTATGATAAATTATACAAACAAAAAAAAATATAAGCTTGCTTGCACCTATGTTAGAATATAAATATAAATATTTTATATATATATATATATTTTTTTTAATTCAAAAGTAGTGTGTGTTTGTTTATCTAATGAAACTATTCATAATACATTATATTCGTATTAGATTTAAGTGATAGATTTATGTTTATACATGGTGTACGAATGTATTGTATTAATAATATATACATATATTATGTGTTTGTATAGTGTACGTTGTACGTTGTACATTGTACATAATATTATGTACATATTATATTGAACCAATTCAAAGTTTTCGTATTCAATTGTGTTTACTTTTGAAGTATTAGTTACAGTTATAATAAAATCATTAAGTTATATTCATATTTGTAAATTGCAATATTTTTGTCTGATCGTTTTTCAACGTTTGGGTTTAATGCATGTTCTTTTGTGTTTTATTTATATTGTTTTGTACTGCGTTTTATTTGATAGCAAATAGTTTTTTTGACGAGAAGTTAAGTTTATAAGGTAGTTAGAAAATATTATGTTTATCTTTTATAAAGTTTCAATAACTATTTAAACATCAAAACAAGAAAAAAAAATGTAAGACATATGTATAAAAGTAAACAATTTTTAGGTTTTATTCTTGTGGATTTTATTTAACTTAGGAAATACTTCGAAAGTTTAATATTTTCAAATATACTGTTATTTATTATTTTATGTTATTTGATTATCTAAATTTGTTTTGAATTTTTATATTGTTGCTCATCGTTTAAGCTACCTTTTAATAATTTGATAATTTTGCAAATAACAACATTGTTCATTTTTATAAAACTAAATTGAGAAATTTAAATAATTTTATTACCAATCAGAATACTCACTTTATTCATAGCTTGAAATTATTTACTCAAATTATTTAAATTGAAAAATATGGATATATTTTGTATATTGATATTTAATCATTTATCATAATTGTTAAGATACAATTGTTATATCCTTACTTCTTAGTTTGTTAAGAAATTTAATATGGTAGTAAATTATATAAGGTAAGGTAACGCATTATAGCAATTATATAATATATAACGTATAGGTAATTATAGAGTTATTTCTTTGTAAGGAATTTAGTAGGGAATTTAATGACTGGAGTGAAGTTGATAATTTTATTAAAATTATTTGTAATTTATATTTAAATGTACATTAAAAAATCTTATCTTTAGTTACAATACGCATAAATATTTTATTTTTATAAGTAATTGTTTAAATAACGAAATAAATAATTATTTTTCTGATATGCACTCGGAATCATTATTTAATTTAATTTTTCATATTCAGCATTTCTTAAACTAAATTAAATTCATCCCTTTGCTGCAGATTACTCAAAAAACAGCTTATAAATATGACTACATTTTTTTTTTTTTAACAATTTGTGTTTTACTTGTTTGATCAATGTAGATAATACTTTATGTTTTCTATTTAAACTAAAATTACACACAGACCAAAATACATAAAATATGATAAAAGTATTAAAATACATTACTAAATTAATGTCACTTATTAAATAAATTGTAACGTAACGACTCAAGCGGAAATGGTGCCGTGATATGATAACTTAATTAAAAGGCATAAAGAGTTTCTAATTAAAAACTTCCTTTCATACTTATCATTATTCATTTTTTTCTTTTAATTGTTTATTGCGCAACGCATATGTCTATTTTTCACTTAATAAAAATGGCTTGCGATTTTTATTATTAGTATTATAAAATGAGTACGTAAATATTGTTAAAGACAGCAAGCTCAATTTAAATAAATAAAATTAATTATGAACTTATAAGTAAATGTCTGTTTCTTTCGTGCTTCTATAAAAATTTAATTTCATTAGTGATTAGCCATTACTCATTACTATTAATAAAGTTCCATTACCTAACATTTGTCAAGCTTATTGTTTATAAAACGCTAGAGCAAGTGACACTCAGTGGATCGTATCTTTTATTTGCGTGAGTTATGTTTCCAACTCCAAATATAAATCGTGGTCCAATTAATAATAAAAATAACTCTGGTAAAATAAACAATACTATACTAACCTACTCGCTTAACAAATTATATCAATTATCATATTAATATATTAATTTGACAAAAAACTTAGATTCTAGCTCTTTGCATTGGAATATGAGCAGTTCTAATAATAATGTCAGGTCGGTGTAGATCTAAAAATAAACCATACAAGAATAAATTCATACAGAAAAATAATTACATATCATAACTGATTTGAAGCATCAAGTTTTACCGATAGTTGAACACTGTGACACACCCATTAATGAATCTACCGTTTTCAAAGAATATAACAAACTGACAATGTGAAATCAGCTTTACCGATTTTCATGAAAGGATTTTAGACTTTTTTTGGCTTTTGTTCAACTTTTATAGAGAAAATTGGAGATGACAGTTTTTTTTTTTTTTTTTTTTTTGAAAATCCGCTACTGATTAGGTATCTAAAAATATAGACACCAAATCCGAAATCCTATTAATCAATAATTCAATATTAAAGGAATAAAAATTGTAAATATCATAATTACTAACTACGAAAAAGTAAACCTACACGAGTAGTTATTTGTAACTTTTATCTATCTATACATACAGAACTAATAAAGTCGGAAAAAATGCATTTTTAAGCGGTTAGATAAGTCGTCAACGTTGTTGAATAATTGCAAAATGTTCGCTATCTCTATTTTTTGTTTATTTAGAATCAACTAACAATTTAAATTAAATCTATTAACTCTCTTATTTATTGTTAAAGATTGAAGAAATTGAAGAGACTTAAAAATAAAATTTTTTAGCTAATGCCTAAAATACCAATATTGTGGCCACATTAAATGTGAAAATGCGAAATATTTCCACTGTAATCTGGAGACTATTCGGCCAAGTACAGAAATTGCAATGAATATAAAGAGCCCCAACGTCATAAGAAGCCACCTTAAAGTAAAGTTTTTATAACACACAGTGTTAGGTTTAAGTCACGCGATGTTTAAGCCATTAGATTATGGTATACTTCTTTTAGCTTCATTCCATCCACGCACAGTTTTGCAAGTCAATTCTATACTTTTAGATACAAATAGAAGCATTTGACATTAATAAATCAATAATAAACTTCTAGATGAGTAAAAAAAATATTCTAAATTCTCTAATATTAATTACTTGCCAAAATAATTTTCAGATTTTAGGCAAAAAAAAAAAAAAGGACTAATAATATATTTACAAATAAGTGTCTTATAAAGAATTAAAAAAAAAAAAAACATAAACATTTTCACTGAGACTTCTTTTTTTTTTTGTAGTTTAATAAATATTTAGTAAATATTCTTATTGTACTTAAGGGTATAAAATATATACATTTAAAAAAAGTTACATAATGTATTATTTATACTAACTGTATAGATTATATTATATTTTCAAATTAAAAGATAAATTCAAAAAAGAGTATATTGTATGTTCTTAATCATTATGAATGCAGCAATATATCTGTTTATTATATTATAATATGAATACATAAGTTCATTAAGTAATAATATTATTTAGTTTATTAATATGTTCTATTTAATCGCTCTAGTTTTAGAAAAATATGTTATTTACTTAGGTAATTTTAGTATAAAATATTGTTTTAATATTCATTATCTGTTTACTTTAAAGAGATTTATCGAATTATATCATTATGTAAAAGTTAAAACTTTATAATAAATTAAATTTGTTCCCTCTCTTTTTTTTATTAATAAAAGTCAATTTACCCACAACATATTATAATATATTATATTATCATAATGCTTATTAGTTATTATATGTTTGAAATCCATTATTATTTCTGAGAATTGTAAAATAATTTGATTGATTTACTTACTTGTATAACTTAAGTAATTAAATGATATAATTTCGATAATTAATTACGTATATTATTTTCTTAAAATATAAATTTAATTTAAATACCTCGTAATTTATTGAAACCACTAAAGCATACCATTATAATTACAAACTGTATATTTTTTATTCCTTTTAAAAATAAGGATTTTGATTACACAAACCGATCTAAAAAACTGATTACGTCTCGGAAAACTCTAAAAACAATCGTATCTTTTATATAAATAAGAAACAATTACAAGCAAAGCTATTAAACAAAACGTTCATAAAACGATCGGTTCAAAATTAATGTTTGTCAGAGATGTTTCACCACAGAGTATCAAAGGCAATATTACGTGGTGGTCGGTGAAACTTTCAGTTTTGAATCTAATTCGAAATCGTATGACTGTTATGATAACGAATAATGCAATAGTATTATAATTTATAAAATATACAATCAAGAATCACGTATAATGCGCTTACCGATCGTTGTGATAACTGTGACCGAGTATAATAACGCGCCTGTTAATGACCACTGTTCCGTGTTTTTGCTGTCGTATCCTTGTATGTTTTTCGTTGATATGATCTGAGTCTCGAACTTGTGCAGCGGTTCGTATACTAATTTCGTCCAATTTAATTCATGTAACACGTGCATTCTCACTGAAAAGAAACGAATATTATACCTTATTATCAAATATACTTAATGAACTAAGTGCTTGTTGGTAAATAATAAAATACACGAACATAATACAATGCAATGCAATTATCTAACTTTATCTAACCCAATGAATAAATTAGTACTATTAAGTGCGTTTTCAGGTTTGGGAAATTATAGCTGTAGAATGAAGATTTGTATTCGTCAATGTACGTTATTAACAGCAAGTAGCAAATATCATAGAAGTCGATTATGACAAGAGTAATTTCTAACTATAGTTTACTCTTTTACAAAATTGAATGATTACATATGATTATATATTAAGTGCTTACATAAAAAAAAAAAAAACGAAAAAAAGATGTTCTAGTATATGATTTTAAGACGCTGTATAAATATTTTTGATTTATTTTAAGATATTATCCATCTATATTATGAACCTATTATTGCTGTTTTGAGTTATTTACAGAAAGTTACTGTTAAATTTTTAGTTGTAAAAGTTAATATAATATAGTATAAATATTTATCATTACAAAAGTATTTAATACTTATAATATAATAAATGCAAAAAAAAAATATTGAAAAAAAAATTATTAATCGACTATATAATTCATTTATTAATAGCTATGAATATCAAAAAAATAATCATGTAATTTACCTAGCGATATAGGACATAATATTAAGTCAACAAACCGACTCTGCTACACATACTTTAAGTACAAGTACAACAGAGTTGTACTTGTTACTTTTTTTTTTTTTGAAAATCGTTTTTGTTGTAAAGAATATACTCTTCAAAATGTTTCTTTTTTTTTTGTTTTTAATATACCAATATGTAATGTATATTGATGATAATTAAAAATTTGAGATGAAAACCATTGTTTTTAATTTATAAGCTTATTTAAATCTTAAATTAAACTAAAAAATGTTCTATATTAATTGAACATTTAATTATATATTTATAGGAGGATATTTTCAAAGAATTTTTTAAATATTTTTATCTGTATTTGGAATTTCAACATAGTTCGCTGATTCATAAAAAATAATGTGTACTTACTAGAATGAAAAAAACAATGGAATATATTATAATACATGAGGTATCTTTATTATAAAATATAAATAATTACATATTTATTGTATTTTAAATCAATATTTTGTTTGATGTCCATTTGAATTTGAGTTTATGAAATCATTTATTATATAATTCTATGTAGGTAGGTATAATTTAATTGAAAAAACAAAACAAAAAAAAAAATGGTTCAAAATTAATTATTTAATTTTCTTGAATGATTTAAAACATTTTACACTTATTTTTATAAACGTATCATCATATTTTACGAAATTTTTGTTGTAAAACTGTGATATGAACTAAGTTATGTATAATATATTATATTAGATTATATGATTTATTCATTTTTTTAAACATATTTTTATTTCAAAAAAATATTCTGTACATACAAATTTTAAAATGTATTATACATAAATAAACTTAACTTGAATCTCTCACCGGCGTGTGAAAGCATATTATTATGAACATTTTTCATACGAAATCAGCGAGAGATAGTCGACCAACCTGACTTGCATCTATAATATCTTATATATAAGTTGTAAAGGTGTGCATCTTCTTTGTAGTATTATATTGTTATTTCGATTCTCGTGTGAGTCTCTACGGACCTTTCCTCTATCGTTATTTGTGATGGTCTTGTATACCCAAGTACGGAAGCACGGAATACGATATTACAATAACGAGTCATTTACGTTCATTTTCTACTGTGTAGAGTGAATTTTCAAAGTTGCAGTAAGCAAATCTTCAGTATAATTCATATGTTTCGTCAGCGCGTAATAATAATAACATAGTTGTGGGGTCGTGTATGTGGGTATGCCTGTACAGTATATGGTATGACGTATTTAACATACCCCGTGCAGATTAAGTAACGGAAACTACTGAGTATAAAACTACGAACTTCCTCAAGGTCACAAGTAATACATTTTTTTTTTTGTTAAATATGATTAAAAATAAGTTACGATTACCATCTTTTAATAATCTCAAAAGAAAATATTTATGCGAAGAATAGAACTTTTCTTCTTTTTTTAATTTCCTTTCAGTTAATTATCTTAGTATCTTAGTAGACACAACAAATATATAAATATATATAACTATATAATTTAAGAGTTTGGCTTTAAAATATAAAAATATTAAGTGTATGATATAAAATTTATTTATCTTTAAGATAAATTAAAAAAAAAAAAAGTGTACCTACAATTTATTGGTCTGCACTCTATAGAATGCATATAATGTACTAGTGTTTATAGGTGTTAAGTTTGTCTTTTAAAATTAATTATCTAAATATTAGCTTTAGAATATGATGAATAGTAAACAAAAAGATGGTTATGTTGTTTTTAATGAAGAGACATTTTTAAATATACATTTTTGTTATAAAAAATTTTGCATTTTGACTTAATGGACATTATGCTACGAAAAAAATATCCTACAACTGTTGACATTGATTATTGAAAGTAGATATTGGTATGTGATTATCCTATGTAATTAACTAATTCAAAAAATAATTTGCCGATGTGTTATTTTTTATGTGTTATAAGTTATGACAAAATATATTAAAATGTATTGTAGTAGATAAATCGCCTTTTAATCCATTGGTAAAGGCATATAATACAGACTTATTATTTTAACGATATTTATAGAGTAATAAGCATTCATTAAATTTTTTACAGCTTTATGCAGGTAACATGTATAAAAAATTGTTACCTACTCAAGTGTCCATATTTCATTACATGATGTACAGTAAATTTTTATATAATTTTATCAGCAACTGGGGTTGAACAATTTTAAGTGTGCTAAAGAAGGTTTTTGAATGATCATCATATCCACGTAGATGCGTATATTATAATGAGTTCGAAGGCAATAGAAAAATGCTTCATTTATACTTTACTTCGAACAATGACTTATTTTTAAATGCTTCATAGTATTATATTATTAATAATAAAATTTAAAAGCTGTTAAATGCTGTTTGAGCAATTTATATTTTTAGTTTTGTAAGTTGTTACTGCATGTAATTTGAGTTGTCAATTTTAATAAACTGCTTATTAATCACATAAAAAGTCGATGGTATAGCTTTATTTGTTTTAATTATTAAAGCATTTTTGAATTGTATTATAACAAGAGTAAAATAAAATATTATACGCAAATACTTTCCAACATAATTACAAATAATCATAAACACTGAGGGCATGCATACACTATTACACATTTATTATTGGTATACATTTTATTTAAAATGCTGTATTTATCGCTGATATTTTGACATTTCACTTAAAATATAGTTATTAGAAATAATTTTATTTTGTAATTATTAAATGTCAGAGGATACCACGATCCTAAAACATTATATTTAATTACGAATAAAATTTGAAAGACATTTGTTTTAGTGTTATTATTTTTCAACATCCCTCGTCACATAAACAAAATATTTGGTTATAATGTAACTTTACTGACAAACGAGCAAAACAAAAATAAAATAACATCACATGTTTTTGAAAGATAATACAAAAAGGATTACGAGTGATGATTTAACTGGGTTAAAAACATTTTCAAAAAACCTTTCATTTTTGTCATTTGTTTTTATTTTAAATGCAAAGAGTTTCATTGTTAAAGTCAATTAATTTCTAAAAAGCGTTTAATAATTTTATGGATTTTGAGGTAGTATAGAGACATATCATGTGAATACACTAAAAGACCGCCTAATACGGAAATAAAAAATGTATAACAATAAAATAAATAAATAAAAACGGTATTTATTGTGTATTCATTCATAAAAATAGTTCATTGTTGTCAGTTTTTTATTACTGTCGAAGAAAACTGTTTTCATTATTGCTACAAAACTATTTATTTGTTTCAATATTTATGTATATTTATACTTAGGTATGTATAAAAATAAATAAATTTATATACATTTAATTGCAATAATATTTATCATGTTGTAAAAAATATACTTTTATATTGCACAAAGGGTTCTTCATAGCTGATATCGTTAAGTTTTAACTCGAAACATATTTTACTTAAAAAATTATAATTGTATTACTTATACATCAGTATTCAATATAATTTAAATTTTGAGATAATCGATTTATGTTAATATTTTAAAATTTAAGTTATTGATAAATAATTTATTATGTAGACAATTTATTATTTATGAAGAAAAATAAAACGAAATACTTTTACAATGTTCATTATCTACACTGTGTTCATTAAGTAAAATATTATGATAGATATAATAATGTTGAAAATAATCGGTGATTTTGGACATAAAGTTTTAACATATTAAATACGATTATTACTCTTATTTTATCTACCTATAGACAATAATATCATAACTAATTTTTAAATACTTATCTAATTGTTTGGTTTATTATTATATAAATTTAAAGTAGGTATTCTGATGTATAAATAATACGACATGAAATATTGATATAGTTCTTTTTGTTTTATATTTATTTTATAACTATACGTAGTATTATTATTATTATTACTGTGGAAGTAAAAGTAAATATTTAAATATACGGATTTTTTTATTAATTAATTTTTTAACTAAGTAATTTAATTTAAAAATTTAATTAAGAAGACGCCGTATTTATGTTCTATAAATGGTTAAATATAATCAAAAGTAGGTTATATAATAAGCTAGTATGCAATATAATAAAAAATAAAAAATTATCAATTCGATAAATGTGTAATAAGGTGAGCCCACGAAGATAAAATATAGACTGATAATGGATATAATAGTACTACATTTGTCTTCTTTACAATAGGAAAAAAAATAAAATCTAGCATGGATGAAATACAACCAAGTAGTCATGTATCTATATTGAAAAATTGTTTCTCAAAAAAATACCAGAAATATAATTTGAGACTGCTATAAACGAATACAAAATAATGTTGTAAGTGTTGTTATTGAAGAAAATCACAAGTTGTAGCTAAATATAAAGGTTTTAT